CCACACGCCTATTTTATATATTTGTTTATAGTATTTCATAATCCACCATTGTTGTTATTGTTATTCATAAAAAATAAAAATAAAAACTATCATTCGATAAAAACATTTTTTTCATCGACTACGATGGAATAATCAAGCATACAGTTTGCATGATGAGAAGCGGTTACCGTAGAGTCTAAGGACGCCTGTAACCCCATAAGTATCATGTGGCAATACAGCCATGACCCTGAAGAAGTAATCTATTTTATTCTTTGATCTCATGCTGTAGTCTATTTAGAAAATCACTTCCTTTACTAATAGGTTATATGAGTAACTTTTATTACAATAAAATATTATTTATTATTAACTTAACAAATAAGCTGGTCGCTTGCCTGATGGAAAGTGGTGGCCGTCGCTTAATACAGCACTAGATATGTACATACTGAATGTATACACTTTGATACTCATGATACTATACTATTCCTGTGAATTATGGTGTTTTTTTTTAATGGGTGAGAATGGAATGGTAATCGCACCTGCGCTGTCGGTATACGCTGGTAGGGTACGAACCAGGACGAAAGCAGGTCAGTTAGCACATTGTGATGAATTTCACAAGAATTAATCATGACGGTTTTTAGGGGAAACCGCATGATGGTCGACCTGATAGGGTAACTTGCTAGCAAATGGGGCTATCAGTCCCCATTACTAACAAACTCTTTCCCATTGGTGTTTTCTTTATACCTTGTAATTTCAATGTCATATCTCTTTAAATCGAAATACGTTTGTTTCACGGCAGAAATAAGGGTGGGACTGAGGTACCCAAGCATTAAATTTGTATAGTCTTTCTCTAGTAATAAGACAAGTGCAGCCTAAATATATTTAATGTGAGACAAGTGAGTCGAGCCTACTGTATGGGAGTGTTATGTCATTAGCCATTAACGCGGCACTAGCGCGATAGTGTTGTGCGGCAGATTTATAGCGACCCGGTATATAGGATAAATCACCCGCGGGCCACCCGACGGGGTGGGGGAGGGAGGGCCCGGGAGGGGCGCCTTAGACTGTCTCCAGACTTTAGTCGAGCTACGTACAGTTCTAATGGTAACGATTTTGCGTAAACGTGAGTGATTCATTTGAGGTTGTAATCTTATCTTGCTCTGTTTGGGTTTTCGGACACCCTTATTTTTATTACTTAGGTTCTTTTTTACATTATTGTACTGTCTAAATATGTATTATGATTTGGCCAAGCGGTTTACTTAGATTGTCAAAAATAAGCTAACGGCAAATCCGATGGAAAGAGAACCATTACCTTAAAAAGTGAACAGCACCATGGATATCACAGAACATACTGTAACACCCATAATATCCTTCTCACGTTGCCGTTCCTGAGAACTAAACTATACCTCTGTACTTTGTAATTTCTGACAAACGTTCCTACGGACTGTTGGAGAGTATGATGGATTTTCCTGTTTACTACTTAGTGCGTTATAACTAAGTCTATGGTTTTTACCGTGAATATTAAATAAGTAATTGTGTTATAATGATGAATAGCTTTAGTATCTATATTTAGAAAGTGAAATTTACAATGAAAAAAAAAAGAAGATCGGTGACTGGCAAAATAAAAATAAATGGCTATTAAGAAAAAAAAAGAAACAAAAAGGTCGCAATCTTCAACACAGACTTAACTTACTAAGTAGTTGTAGGTACTTAAATTTCTTTTTTTTATCTATGTAGATACCTAAATATACTTTAGTATTAAAGAAAAGAAAAAAAGAAAAAGAAGAGTTCAAGGAACACTTACTGAATATAAGGACATTAATCATGATCAGGGGGTTTACCATGAAATGGAATTCCGAATTTTTGGACTCAATTTCGTGTTTTTATTCATACCGAAATCGACCCAGTAGGTAAATGGAGCTTAACATTTCGTTTGTAATAAATCCTACAATAAAAGTCCAAAGGAACGATAGTTTAGCGTTTTTAATATTTTTAAATGGTATGTATCATGTAATTTTAACATCAAATTTGTGTTTCGTTCGGACCCGAAATTACGGAAAACATTTCATGGTAGGCTCTCAATTCACGGATTTATTTATAAGTATCAAGTAATAAATATCTACTTTTTTTTAAATGAGTGATAATGATATGGTAACCCCGCCTGCGCTGTCGGTATATACTGGCAGAACTCCAGTGGAAGATGAGAGATGAGGATGAAAATAAGTCAGTTAGATCATCCTGAGGAATTCAACTAAAATTAACCACGATGGTTTCCAGGGGAAACCGCGTGGAGGTCGATCTGATGGGGTTTATTGCTAGTAATGGGACTATTTGACCCCATTAGCAACAATCCCTCACCCCCTAGTAATATACACTTTTTGATGGGTGAAAATAATATGGTAACCCCGCCTACGCTAACGGGATACGCTGGCGGAGCACCAGTGAAGGGTGATAGATGAGAATGAAAACAGGTTAGTTAGCCTATCATGATGAATCAATCAGGAATTAACCATGATAGTTTCCAGGGGGAACCGCGTGGAGGTCGACCTGGTTGGGTATATTCCTAGTAATGGGATTCTCAGTCTCCATTACTAACAATCCCTTTTCCCCCCAGTAATACTGTATGCTAAGCTGCGTAGCCAGCGCAGTTATAGTCGGCTAATATTCTTCTCCTATGGTAAAAGGTCCATAGTTAGTAACACGATTACAATACATTGTTATAGCATGAAATGAATATTTGAGATAGTATACCAATTCAATATATAGGTAGGTATACTTATATATGAACTATATATACAGTAATACCACCTCATATGTATTTCTGAGTATAACCGAAGGTCCTAATACTACAATAAAAAAGTACTTTAAAAACAAGGAGTTTAATTTGTATTTTTTTTTTAAATCTGAACCTATTTTGATAATAATTTTCATATAGATATCTATTGGGTTAACTGCGAGAGAATGCTAGCTATATACTCGCAGTATTAAGTCTGTCTTTTATACCAGACATGTTTTGTAATGTGTTCAATAAAGAATAAATAAATACATATATATATATATATATATATATATATATATATATATATATATATATATATATATATATATATATATATAAATATAAATCTTCTATTTTTTTAAAAGATGATAATGGTTAGGTAACCCTGGTTAGGCTAATTGTATACTGTAAGGGATATAGTGAGGGGTGATAGGTGAGAATAAAAAGGCACGTCGTAGCACGTCGTGATTAACACACGTGGAATTCACCTCGATTATTTCCAGAGGGACCACGGGAAGGTCGACCTGACACGATATATGCTAGCAATTAGACTGATAGTCCTCAATACAATCCCTTCACCACCTTACTCTCGTATTAATAATATATTAGTTTTGTCAAGAAAGAAGGTGCTGTTCTTTTTATAGAAAAATAAAGTTATTGTGAGAAATTACATTTAAGGTATCTTTTTATATATGTAAGTAGTTATTTACCTAACTAGAATTGGCGAACAAACTACCAGCCAATCAGACAGAAAGTGGCAACTTTAACTGTGATACCCATGGCACCATGTACTTATCCTTCAAGCATTAATATTTTTGAAACAAAATAATGCAAAACGTTATTTCTTCTTTAGGAACAATTGTTGAACAATTGAACAACAAACAAAGGGCTTGGAAGTTTATATATAATTTTATTAGGCATATACAAATGTACAGCTATTTATCAAATTTAAATCTTGTATAGGCAGATAGGTACTATGTTTGTTTGTCAACGTGGATAAAACATCCATTTGTTTTTTGTATTTATCATCAATATAATTTCAGCCATTACTCGTCCACTGCTGGACATAAGCCTTCCCCATAGACTGTGATAAAGAACGGTCCTGAGCCATCTGCATCCACTGACTCCCTGCAATGTGTTTCAGGTCGTCACTCCATCTAGTGGTATTTATAATATCTGCTAATAGACACCTAGATAGTAAATTATGTTAGGTATATTATATTTTATATTTTGAAAACATTGAGATACAATTTATATTATCCATTAGATAAATTTTTTAATACTCGTATTTATTTTTTTGCTCGCAATATTTTACTTAATGTGACAGGTTGGAGGACTTCATCTATTATGGAGATGCCTACTATTATATAATGTACTTGTAACTGTAACTATTAATTAAAATCATTAGTGTAAATATTGAGAATTATTTTCTATAGGGGTGGGCATTGGACAGTTACAGGATGGGCACAGAACACCCTCCCTCTCCTAAATATGTCTACAATTATTTAATACCTACCACTAATTAATAAATTATAACTGAACATGGAAACTAAGTTATAGACAATTTATATATACCTGCCTACTCAATCAATATACTTAGATATGTGTAGGTATTGCATTTGTGGAAGAAGACATATTGCGCCGACCCCAAATATATGTGAAAAGGTACGGCAATGATGATATGTAGGTACATACTGTATTTAAAGTCAAAGTCAACATAAACTTTATTTAAGTAGTTAAGTCTATTTAAATAATGCTTATAAGTCTGCTTTAGTTTATTAGGATTTCTGTTATTGTTTCTTTTTATATATAAATATTAAAATAGATATGTATAATATTTAATTATTAATAAACAATATATTTTTCTATTATATAAGACTGTATAATCATATACTCATAAAATCTAATCTGTACGTATGAATTAGGTATTTTAAATTTATTATATTTATAAGTAGTAATAATATTAAATGTTTCAGAAATTACTACGCCGCCGGTACCATACAACACATCTCCATCCATCAAGAGGGACGCGCGCGCGTCGACTACACACACCATCGCAGACCGCCCAAAAAGAGAAAAAGAAAATTTGAAAAGAGAACACACCCATTCGAGCGTCAAGCCCCGCCTGATTCGGCCGCCCGGCCGTCGAACCGACCAATCAGAACGCAGTCACCGCCGAAGTCGAGCCGCCGCCGCCGACGGGAGCCGAGGGCGGCCGACCGTGCGGCACAACAAAAAGTCACACGACTGGTTTAGTGTCGGGTTGCGTCCCAACGGCGCTGTATCGCGTACCGGATCGCCGCAGTCGCGTCTGCGCTTGCGCTCACAAAACGGACTGTTTTTCTTATTATAACCTATAACATCGCGACTTCAACACAACCAATTGTATGTACATTACACTGACGTATTGTGATCTGTGATAAAGTATTATACGATTTACTATGAAAATGAACATGCAAACGGGATGGAGCTCATGATATCAGTGTGTTTATGTATCTGCACAGTATTTACAGTGGTACATAGTGATAGTGATCGGCATTGTGATACGCGTCTGATAAGGACATCTGAGGTATGTCCGCGTTCTTTCATGAAATATATATATTTTTTAAAGCCACTAGTCAAAGGCAATAATCGAAAAATAAAGCAGTTTGTAAACAGAGTAATTTATTTTAAATTACTATATATATTATATATAGTACTATAACTATATTTGTACAATTTATAGATATATATTTTTAAACAAAAAATCTATTCAAAGAAACTAATAATTTATAACTAATTGAAAGAAAATTGTCATGACTCTACACGCAGATAGTAAGGAAATTTTAACGAAAAATACATTAAATTGTCATTGGAAATAATCTAAGATAATAAACACATTAAATATGTACGATAGAAATAAAAAGATAATAATGAAAAGTTTATAATTAAACGCGTTGCAGCGATTTCTCTGGAATATTAGAGTTAGGCGCGCAACTCCACATCCGTCGGAAGAATGTTGCGCGGCATTTTTTTGCTGTTTAAAAACTTCATTAATTGGTATAATTTTAATATACAGATTAATTATTTTATTATAAAACAAGTAGTTAAATAAAAAAAAAATTAGTTACATATACATTTATTTGGTGATTGTTACGAAACATACTTAATTTGTTTTGACTAAAACATTATTAATTAATGATAATAATTGATTATTTTTATGTTCGTAATACTATAACAATGTATAAAAATAGTACCTATAATGTAATATATTTAAATTAATGGAAAATATACACAAGAGATAACGATCTGCGTGTAAAAGACATAAACGAGATAAGGTTGATAAAAATATTTTCTTGAATTATGAATAATAATAATTATATATTATTATATAAAAATATTTTTATACTATGATATATAAACATTTATTATACACGTATTATTAATTTTATACTTCTGATTCATATGACAAGATTTATGTTAATTACTGATTCTCGGCCGGGGTATTTTCTTAGTTAAACCGAGTAATCGTTCTTAAGTTAACAAGAAAATAATTTAAGATAGTTTTCACCGTCTTCAATCATGGCAGGGCCAGTTTTCTATATACATGTCTATTCTATGCCGGGACCACACGGTTATAGGTATATATTCTATTAATATAATAAATGCGAAAGTTTGAAACAATGGATGGTTGCATGTTACTCTTTCACAGAAAAGCTATTGAACGGTTTTAAATAAATCATAAGCACATAGGATACTTTATGTACTGATTAAGGATGAGGGATAAAGTTAGTCTAAAATAAATCAGACCATTAGGCGTATTTCCATGATACTATCTCATATAAATCACAAATAAGTCATGTATTGGCTTATGATATAGGTATGATGATCATTTTTATTTTATTCTTATATCAGCCGTTAACTGTCCACTGCTGAACATAGGCCTCCCCCATAAGGAGCGATTTTGGTTATAGTTGCCACGCTTGGCAGGCGGGTTGGCAACTACAGTAAGGCTTTGTTGATGTTTTAAGAGGTATGCTGCTGTATATCTTTCGACCATAAAGCCCTTTTAGTCGTCGTTTATGACGCCCACGGGAAAAGAATGGGTGACCCATTCCATGTCGGAACTATACGCCAATCATAATGTAAGTCAATGTGATGATGATGACCATTCCGTTACACGTTGCTGGGTCATGTTCATCATGAAAGATCATATCACTGGATATCATATGTACCATAGATTGCTATTAATACATGTATTTTGTGCTTTTTAAATCTTATTTTGGAGAAACTAGAAGAGCTCTCAATTCTATGATTTCTTTGTATGTATCTTAAGCGATATCTTCGCCAATTCTCTACTGATTTTGATGATTGATTTTATAATTAATAGAATATAATTGTCTATAGTTATCACTGATAAACTCGAGTTTTATTATTGTTATTTCTATTAATAGTATACTGTCTAATGAACTGAATAGCTACCAGATACTTTAGTAGTTTGTACATTAATCTGTAAATATACATATAGGTATAATAAACAAGGGCAATTGAGGAAAAACTAAAATATTTGCTTGCATAATGTTTATTTATTTATTTACTTTATGACTTTCATGAACAGTGAAATTCTATGTACATTTGGAGGACTTAACACCGGACGGTGTTCTCTCTCAGTCAACCATTGAGCAAACAGAGAAATGGGTAGGAGGTGCATTCATAAATTGAGAAAATATAAAGTAATATTTAATATATTATAAACATATAATTAGACTAATAATTAACATACACATATGTAAAATAAATAAATATATGTATACATATAATAAATAAATACATAAAATATTACTAATTAAAAGAACTGTGTTAGAAGAGCAAATACAAAAATAATTCAGAGTAACCAGCAAGGTTGAGTTAAGTTTTTTTTTATTTATGTGCCATACTCAAAACCTCGTAGGGTTTATCTAAACCATAACCGCTAAATGGATCATTGTATTTTTATAAATAGTGATAGCATAAGATAGGTATCGAAGTTATATGAATGAAATTTTTATATATCGATATTAAATCAAATAATTCCCACGAATTAAAGTTGTGTATGTGTATACTGTGACGTACTAATATACATACATACATATATACAAAATATATACACAAGTATAATCTATACTATCTACACTAGTATGTGTATAGGTATATATTTAATTGTTGACAATGATTTTTAACTCATATTTACATTGATATTTTAAGTAGTATTTGATAAACCTATTTGTTTGCTTACTAATAGGAAAATAAACAATATAATCATGTGAAAATTTCATATAAAATATGTACACACATAAACAGCTATATATAGATATATTATGGAAAGATTACAGAATTAATAATATGACAGTTAGGTATATTTACATACTAAAGAAAAAATTAATCGCCGTGTAGTCCCGGCATAGAATAGGCCAACTTTTCCTTTCCCGTGGGTCTCGTAAGAGGCGATTAAGGGAACATAATGTTTTGGAATCGGCAGCAGCGTCCCTCTTAAAACATCACCAAAGCCTAACTACGGTTGTCAACCGGCCTGTGTTATGGGGATGGCCTAAGTTCAGCAGCGGACGATTAAAAGCTATTATAATAATAATAATTTATTTTTGATAATTCTGACTCCGCTTATAGATAGTTACTGTATTTCACTTGAATTATTCACTTGTCATTGTATATTTTTATTTATGGTGCAATAAAGAGTTAAATAAATAATAATAATTATAGTTACTACGTACATATTTATGTAGGTAAGTGCGTATTGAAAAATCACAATCCGTTATTTGTTATCTCTAAATGTTAATAACTACAGGTTACTAATATTTATCTATAGGTATATAAAAAGATTGATAATTTAATATCTTTCAGTGACGGAAGTATTCTATGTTTTTTGGCAAGAACAAATAACGTTATTATATTAAAATTGTACTTAGTAACTTTTCACCGCGACTTCGTTCGCGTGACCGGGATATGTTTACTGACGGAATAAAAAGTAGCCTATGTTCTTTTCCATCTCGTATAGTATCTATGTGTATACAAAATTTCATAGTGATTGCTTAAGCCCTTAAAGCGTTATAAGGTAACAAATAAACAAAGTCATTTTCACATTTAGAATATTGGTAAGGAATCGTTACTAAGTAATTTCCAAAAGTGAGAGGTTTCAAAGGGTTTTTTTGTATGTAGGTAGATAATTCTTTTTACAAATGATACGGTTTACGTCCGTATTGGTTTGATATTAATTTTGACAATATTAAGGCAGTATTTTTTAACAGACTCATGTTTTAAATGTACCTATACAAATACTAGCTTTTACCAGCGACATCGTTCGTATGACCGAATTATGTTCATTAGATAGGATAAAAGTAGTTTATGTACTTATCTATGACATAAAGTACACTTATACCAAATTTCATAGTGTTAAATCGTTAAGGCGCTAAGAGGTAACAAACAAATAAACTTACTTTCATATTTATAATAAAAGACTACTAAAGATAAGGACAAGAAAGTGGAAGAGTTTGTTTGAACAATTTTCGATTTAACACGTTCTTTTTTAATTTTATACGTACCTATATGTATAGGCTACGGTTACAAACTTACTATCATACATATGGTTTCTCGCCTAAAACATTTTCAGTATTATAAAATGCTAACTGTATAGAACGGCTTTGCCCGTAGTCGCACTGTGACTTTTAATAGTTTACAACTTTCCTCAAGAAGTGAGCTATCAAATGCAAAAAGAATTTTTTAAATGCGACTGATAGTTATAGAGATTAGTGCGTTCAAACAAACAAACTCTATTGCTTTATTATATTATTCTCTTATCCCCATCAGTCGTTAACTGTCCACTGCGGAACATAAGCCTCCCCCATAAGGGGAATTTTGCCGATAGCTGCTACGTATGGCAGACGGGTAGGAAACCGCAGTTAGGTTTTAGTGTTGTTTTAAGAGGGACGCTATTGCTCAACCCTCGGCCATTAAGTTTCCTTAATCACCTCTTACGACACCCACGGGAAAGGAGGCAGTGGCCCATTCTATGCTGGGACCACACGGCACTTATATTATTAGTACAAATTAATTAAGACCAGACCGTTACATATTTTCCTTTTAAAATTTATTCTGTCTATAGATCATTGTATTTGAATAACTTTGCTCATCAACCATAAAATCTAGTTATATAAAACTATGTATTATTAACAAAGAAATACCTATAATATATCTACATAAAATATATTTACATACAATAAGTAGCTGATCACCACCAATCAATGTCAATGTCACTTGGCTTCGTTTCCATACCGATCGTTGGCCAGTTTCGACCACGCCGATTGGCCGCCATGACAGTTCGCGTTCGAAATTTGAATGCGGCCCGAGATGCGCAAACGCTGCCGATTATCCTTCGATAAGATTTGGATGTGTGTGTAACGTGTTTCCGCTGTAGACGCATGTAGTAACCATATCCTGTTGAGATGTAATAATTTATAACAATTCTAATAAAAAAAAAATAATGAATTAAATTAATGTATTTGCATAATTATTGAAAAATAATATCAGAATCGGCTT